TGTAACAATACACGAATACGCGAACAGCGCTATATAGAATACGTTGATACCCAAGGGCATCATCGCTGAAATAGGTATAGTTAAAAAAACCTAGTCGGGTGATCTCTCAAGTAGAAAATGAAGACGCGTCCAACTTGAAACAATAAATTTCTAGCGGCTTATTTTTATCGTTGTTTATGTACGCTTATTACACATTAGATTCTAATAATCTCTCTCTCTCTCTCTCTCTCTCTCTCTCTCTCTCTCTCTTTCTCTTTTTCTCTCTCTCTCTCTCTCTCTCTCTTTCTCTTGCGCTTTCGTGCTCCCTCCCTCTTGCTCTTTCTCTCTCGTCTCTCTTTTTCGTCTTGCGCTTTCGTTGCGTCCCTCTTTGCTCTCTCTCTCTCTCTTCTCTCTCACACCACACACCCGACGCACGCAGCACGCACGCACGCACGACACACGCACCTACACACACTTTTTCGTCCCCTACTCTCCTAATACCCGTGTCTCCCTTATTCATGCTCTCCTCTCATTCTTCTCCATCCATGTTTCATATCAGCTTCCTTTTTTCTCTGTCTCTCTCTCTCCTCTCAGCCCTTTTCTGCTCTGTCTCTCCCTCCCTGTGGGGCGTTACGCTAGCGCGTGAGTGGCGTGTGTCGGTGTGTTGTGTGTTGTGTAGTGTGTGTTGTGTGTGTCGGTGGTGTGTGTGTGTGTTGTGTGATTGTTTGCGATGTGTATGTGCAGTGCTCTGGCTCTCTTTCTAATATACATACACACCATTACATTTAATTAGATGGCAGAAAATTCAACGCTATTCCCCATCTGGTGCGACTCATTAGAGTGTATCCGCAGCGTGAGCTGCGAGGCGTGCTGGCTATGTGCCATCAGCACCGCTGGCAGTCATACACAGCCCCCGAATTTCCACAGCTATGGCTTTAAAAAAGACATTTGTTTCGCTAATACCCCAGTTCACGGCGCGGGCACGGCATGGCGTCGGTTACTGCGCTGCTAGGCGACGGGAAAATGGGCCAGAGGCGCAAGTCGCCATACAGCCGTGGGTTAAGCGTGGTGGAACGCAGACATCGTGGCCCCATGTGTCGCATGGTCGCATGATCGCGGAGTCATGGCGTTTGTTTTGTGAGATGTTCAAAACAAACGCCAAGGTTTCGGCGATCTGACCTGGAACGCCGTGAGAACGCGGTGGCGTCACGAAGGTGTTGAACAGCGTCGTCAACATGCTCGATAACGTAGTACACGCGCAGTACCACGCTGGCAAATGACGCTGCGAGAAATCTGGTTAACATTTTCAACGAGCGAATTCATGGATCTGGATCATGCGATTGCCGATCTAGTTTTGCATGGCGATCTGTCTCGCGGCCAGACACGGCCTCTGGTCTTGTTAGCTTGTTTTTCGGCATCGTGTTTCTACTCAGCAACGCCACAACCTATACAGTTAAAATTTCCGCAACGGTTCTGACCAGCTTATATAGTCGCCGTGAGAACGTGGTAGAAACGCGTGATGGGTCGCCGTGCCAGTTCGCAAGATACAGATAGAGACGCGTTGTAAGACCCATGAGCGTGGTGAGAGCGCCGCGGGAACGCCGTTTATCGCGTTCGTAAAGCATAGATCTCAATAGAAACGCCATAGCGCGGAGAGCGTCGGTGGCGGTCCTGCGGCCCGCGTAGAACGCGGGAATGATCGCACAGGTGCGCGTAAGAGCGCGGTTTTGTTTTCAGTTTGTAATTTGTTGGCGACTTTTCTCGGGCGTTGTATTCGCGTTTGCCGGCCGACTTGTTACATTTTCTGGTCGCCGTCACGGTCGCGGATGGTCGCGTCCGGTGTGACGGGGGTATATAAAGAGACCTGAAAAAAATTCGGACACGGTAGGCAGGCAAAACTTTTTTTATCAAATATTTTTTATTGTTTTGTTATGTCCTAACCATTAGAAATAAGATATATAACCTAATAGATAGGTTATCTATATTATTCTATATTCTAACACGACTATGTTTTATTTATAACATATAGCCCATATAATGATTCAAGAGTCAAATCAATGCATTCAACGATCGATATCACCGTTGGATTTGTTTATTTAAAATTCTTTTTTTTTTGGCAATCACAATAAAGTTTTGACACGGCGGTCTAAATAGACTCCGGTCGGTTAGCTAAAACGAACGTATTTTTTAGGCCTAATAAGTCTCATAGCTAACGCGGATTGCTTTCCTTGTCTGATCAAACGTACCGTTTGAGATATTACAAACACTGGCCGTCCGCAATACAGTCACAATTCAAACTAGCGACACACGGAGTCTTTGCGGCCTGCGTCTTTTTTAGTTGCGCACATATACCCGAAGAACAGTGTTTTTGCGAGGAAATTTATATTGCACCACGCATAGTAATCTGTGCAACGGTACACGAGAAATTCTGAAGGGCCCTTCCTATGGCTTATCGTGCGAGAAGTAAATTTATAGAGTGATCCTTACCGGATATGTATTTAGCAGTCAATTGAATGAGCGCCTTGAAATTGTTAAAATAATATTTTCGAAGTAGAATAGAAAACATCATAAGAGACGCGCGGCAAAGTGCAACTGTCGCAATATTGTGTAGGAACGGTATCCGTGTAACACGGATTATATATCAAAACGTCAAATTATGTAAAAGCGTGAGAAAGAATGTATATGTAGACGAGAAGCAGACATGCACCATGACGTCAGCAAAACAAGATTGGCCAGTGTCTCCATATAGCTCAATCGACCGGTAACGCCGTTATCGTAGCAAAGCAGAGGATCACTGCGGATTACACGTGACTAAAGGAAAGAAAGTGCGAGCAGAATATTCCTCAGTGGCGGCGGCTTGGCTCATGTGACCTGTACACGAAAATATCCGTTTCCATACAATAATATGAACAACATACGCCATCCGTACCTATACGTGAATTTATTATCAGCACGTGTATTAATCCTATAGTTTCTTCACATTCATTCAATCTTCATTTTGTACGTGGAGCATCGTTGCGCTTATACGATTTACGGCGATACGAACGTATACGATTGTTCCCGGGCGTCAAACCCTGGTTACGTTGCCTCAATGCCATGCCTCATTATAAAAGAGATACTAGAGTATTACACGCGCACTAAGAGATACTTAAGATATGAAGTTAGAGTAGAGTATACTGATAGGTAATATACACTTAAGGGAAGATTACCACGTCCCAGCTATGCTGTTGTGAGCATCGCCACAGCCTCTTATCATCTTCTATGCTTCTGCTGCACCAAGATGAATAAATGCTGCTGCTGCTGCCGAACATTTACACCCGGAATCAATAAACAAGATCTTGTTTTGACTTCGGCTCGGCAATCTTTCCTGCCAAGTAAGGTCTTGCTGGCTACTTGATTACGATATCCTCGTGGTTCAAATAGCGATGATTGTCAAGCGAGAGCTTACCAACTCAATAAAAACAAACGTGCCGTCACGCACATTTAGTCGAATTATAGTAACACGCACTAATGTGTAGGACATCATCAAGAGATGTCGAAGCCAACATTAGTCAGACGAATGCAATAATTCAGATACAGCATAATGCATAATCATAACAATATACCAGCGCCAATCACAAACATGATAAATTACTTTAAATTTCGAATCGAACTTACCCCGCATATGATAGCAAATAAACAACATTATCCAGGCATCACAAGACATAATAAATCTACTAACTAGCAAGTCGAACACGTCGACCAAGTCTCAATCAGAAGCACTTCAACGACAATCATATAGGTAGTATTATCATGAGCGTATAGTACCAGAACACCTTATGAAGGAAAACAATTTACCTGTCAATTAATCATGCAGTTTCCCTCGTCCGTATGCGACCACGCACGAGCAAACAATTTTCTTATTCCCTGTAAACAGCGTA